GAGCTAGGGGGTTGGACTAGACAGTCTCCAGAGGTGCCTTTCAACTAAATGACATTTCTTGGTTTCCAATTTGTGCCCATTGCCCATCATCCTGCCACTGAGCATTGCTGAGAAGAGTCTGGCTCAGTCTTTTACTCCTTCCCATCAGGTACTTATACATATTGATAAGATCCCTATGTTGTAGGAGTACTGATCTCTAGCTCAGCAACAGCCGTGCCTGTGGCTGGTATGGATCCCACTGATCTGGTCCCCAAGCCATGGATTAGCTTTCTGGCTTGACCTGTCTTGACACTAGGGACCTGCCTAGTGATCAGTGGACTGTGTCTGACCCTCATTAGACCTCAGTCTGATTTGTGGACTGACTTCCTGGTTTGACCTTGGACCCACCTCATCACAAATAATTTGTCTGATGACCTGGACTCCTGTTTGAATCTCACTACCCTTTCCACGTCTGCCCTGCTCACCTCACTTGGATATTATGGGGACTCTGAAAGGGACAGAAGCACTCGTCTGTTGGCCTGACCCAGTCTCAAGGGAGATGCGTTGCCTACCAGGGGCATGGATCAGGGATGTTGCAGAGAGGCTGCCTGCTCTAGTAAGTCCCACGGACTATTACCCACTTCTAGTGATACATGTGGGTGCAAGGGATATAGATAGTAGCAGCCTGGGGAGCATAAAGAAAGACTACAGAGCCCTGGGAGAGGTGGTTAGGGGCTCTGGAGCTCAGATTTTCTTTTCGTCAATACCCCAGGATACAGGGGAGGACCTAAAAAAAGCTAGGAGGATTAGCCAGGTTAATAAATGGTTAAAAGGGTGGTGTCATAGTCAGGGGTTTGGGTGTCTTGAATACGGGACCCAAGTTTGTAGGCCAGGTCTACTGGGGGCTGGTGGAGCTGGTCTAACGAAGGGGAAGAGAAGTTTTGGTAGGAGGCTTGCCAGACTGGTCAAGGAGGCTTTAAACTAGATGTGTTGGGGAAGGGGGGCATCATTCCATACCAACACACCCAGTCAGTTGCCAGCGCCTATAATAAAGGCTCAGAGCAATGTAGATATATTCCAGCTGCTACAGCCAATGAGCCGGCTTCATTTGGAGCTCGGCTCAGATGCCTCTATACAAACGCCCCTAGCATGGGGAACAAACAAGAGGAATTAGAGATGTGTGCATATCTATGGGGGTATGATATAATAGGCATCGTAGAAACATGGTGGGATGGCTCCTATGACTGGAGTGTTGGAATGGAAGGTTACAGGCTTTTTAGAAAAGACAGGCCCGGGAGGCGGGGAGGGGGAGTTGCCCTTTATGTTAGGGATAGGCTTGAGAGTATGGAACTCTGTCTGGGGACAGGTGAGCAGTTAACAAAGAGTTTGTGGGTCAGGGTTAAAGGGAAAACAGCTATGGGAGACATTACTGTGGGGATCTGTTACAGACCGCCTGATCAAGGAGAACCTGCGGATGAAGCACTCTATAGACAGATAGGAAAAGTCTTACGCTCACAGGCCCTTGTTCTCATGGGTGACTTCAACCACCCTGATATCTGTTGGAAAGACGGTAAGACCTGGCACAAGCAATCCAGGAGGTTCCTTGAATGTGTGGAAGACAACTTCCTTCTGCAAGTAATAGAGGAGCCGACAAGGAGAGGTGCCATGCTTGACCTCGTGCTCACCAACGGAAGGGCTGGTTGGAAATGTGACGCTCCAGGGCAGCCTTGGATGCAGCGATCACGAGATGGTCGAATTTGAGATCCTCAGGACAGTGAGAAGGGCAAGCTGACTTCCCTGGATTTCAAAAGAGCAGACTTGGGCCCCCCTGCCCTCTAGGGCTATATCCCATGGAACCTTACTAAGCAGGCTCCTGAAGAGGCCAAAGACACTTGGTTGATATTCAAAGATCACCTGCTACAAGATCAGGAGTGTTGCATCCCAACTAGATGGAAGTGCAGCAGGAGGGCCAGGACACCTCCTTGGATGGATAAGGAGCTGCTGAGGAAAATTCAAAGGAAAAAAGAGGCTTATAAAAAGTGGAAGTAAGGACAGTTGGCCGGGGAAGAGTACAGGGATGTTGTCTGGGAATCTAGGGACCAGGTTAGGAAAGCTAAGGCCCAGTTAGAATTAAACTTGGCTAGGGATGTTCAGGATAACAGGAAGGGATTCTACAGGTACGTAGCAAATAAAAAACAGACTAGGGACAACGTAGGCCCCCTCAGGAAGCTCTCGGGAGAACTAGCTACACAGGATTTGGAGAAGGCTGAAGTTCTGAATAACTTCTTTACCTCGGTCTTCACTGGCAAATGCTCTGACTGCACCACCCAAGTCTTGGAAGGTAGATGCAGGGACTGTGAGAATGAAGACCTTGGGCCCACTGTAGGAGAGGAACTGGTTCAAGACCATCTTAAAAACCTGAATGTGCACAAGTCCATGGGCCCTGATGAAATCCATCTGCGGGTCCTGAAGGAGCTTGCAAATGAAGTTGCTAAGCCCCTGGCCATCATGTTTGAAAAATCATGGCAGTCAGGTGACTGGAAAAAAGAGAAATATAACCCCCATTTTCAAGAAGGGGAAATTATAGACCAGTCAGTCTCACTACAGACCAGAACCCAGGGAATTACAGACCAGTCAGTCTGAACTCTGGGCCTGGCAAAATCTTGGAGCAGATTCGCCTGGAAGGCATGCTAAGGCACATGAAAAAAAACAAGGTGCTTGGTGATAGCCAGCACGGCTTCACTAAGGGGAAATCCTGCCTGACCAATTTGGTGGTCTTCTACGATGAGGCTACAGAACTGATGGGCAGAGGTAGAGCAGCTGATGTCATCTACCCGGACTTGTGCAAAGCGCTCCACACTGTCCCACACAACATCCTTGTCTCTAAACTGGAGAGACATCAATTTGATGGGTGGACCACTCGGTGGATAAAGAACTGGCTGGATGGCCGCACACAGAGTTGTGGTCAATGGCTCAATGTCCAGCTAGAGACCAGTAACAAGTGGTGTCCCTCAGGGATCGGTGTTGGGACCGGTCTTGTTTAACATCTTCGTCGCTGACATGGACAGTGGGATTGAGTGCACCCTCAGCCAATTTGCCGATGGCACCAAGCCTTGTGGTTCAGTTGACACGCTGGAGGGAAGGAATGACATCCAGACGGACCTCAACATGCTTGTGAGGTGGGCTGATGGCCAACCTCATGAAGTTTAACCATGCCCAGTGCAATGTCCTACACCTGGGTGGGAGCAATCCCAGGCACAGCTACAGGTTGGGCAGAGAAGAGATTCAGAGCAGCCCCCCTGTAGAGAAGGACTTGGGGGTGCTGGTCGATGAGAAAATGAACATGAGCCGGCAGTGTGCGCTTGCAGCGCAGAAAGCCAACCATATCCTGGGCTGCATCAAAAGGAGCATGACCAGCAGGTCGAAGGAGGTGATCCTGCCCCTCTACTCTGCTCTTGTGAGACCTCACCTGGAGTATTGCGTACAGTTCTGGTGTCCTCAACATAAAAAGGACACGGAACTGTTGGAACAAGTTCAGAGGAGGGCCACGAGAATGATCAGGGGTCTGGAGCACCTCCCATATGAAGATAGGCTGAGAAATTTGGAGCTGTTCAGCCTGGAGAAGAGAAGGCTGCGTGGAGACCTCATAGCAGCCTTCAGTATCTGAAGGGGCCTATAGGGATGCTGGGGAGGGGCTCTTCATTAGGAACTGTAGTGACAGGACAAGGGGTAATGGGTTAAAACTTAAACAGAGGAAGTTTAGATTGGATATAAGGAGGAAATTCTTTCCTGTTAGGGTGGTGAAGCACTGGAATGGGTTGCCCAGGGAGGTTGTGAATGCTCCATCCCTGGCAGTGTTCAAGACCAGGTGGGACGAGGCCTTGGGTGAGATGGTTTAGTTTGAGGTGTCCCTGCCCACGGCAGGGGGGTTGGAACTAGATGATCTTAAGGTCCTTTCCAACCCTAACGATTCTATGATTCTATGATTCTATGGGACTGGGCACAGGCTGGTGAAGTCCCTGCTGTGCGTATCATGGTGCTTGACTCCCATTTCCTCCTCCCTTAAGGGAGAAGCAAGCCCTCGCTGCCCCCTGACAGGAAGACAGTGTCTACCTGCTGAAGTCAATATAGACAATATCCATTGCTGTCCCCTCACCAACTGAACCAGTCACCACATTGTAGAAGTCTATTGGGTTGTTCAAGCATGATTTCCCCTTTGTAAATCCATGCCAGCAATTCTCAAGCATCTTCTTGTCCTTCATAGGTGGGATGTAGGTTTCTTAACACCATCCCTGCATACTCAGTCTTTCTATATGCCTCCTGCATTTCCTGACGCTGCTTCCACATCTTATATACTTTCTTATGTTTGAGCTTTGTCAGGAGCTCCTTGTTCATCTGTGCAGGCTTCCTGCTATCTTTGCTTGACTTCCTGTATATTGGGATGGAACAATCCTTATCTTCAAGGAGCTGATCCTTGAAAATCCTACCAGCTCTCCTGGACCTCTTTGCCCAGTAGGACTATCTCATATGGGATTATTCCAAGCAGAGCCCAGAAGAGTCCCAAGTCCTGTCTCCTCAAGTCCAGTGTTTTGATACATCAGTTCTTGCCAGGAGTAGAAAATCAACACAAGGTGAACCTAATCACAAGCTCTTCTTTCCTTTTATGTATGTGCTGCTTAAAGTAATGAAAATGAACAACAGAATTTGAAATTCAAAGCTCCCATTGCTTTTTTTTTCCAGATTGTGGGGAAATAACACTGCCAAGAAGTATCTGTTCAGAACTGCATGATATTTTACTTTTATTATCACTTTTTAAAAATTTATGCATTTTTAGGTATATGCTCTCTCACATCTACTGATATCAGACTCCAGTGATCTTAACTGCAGATCTGACAAATCTTTCCTTTTCACAAGAGAAGTTAAAGAATTTACACTTGAGATTCAACTTTGACACATAAATGAGTACAGGTAAGTCTACAAGAACTAGAAATATGAAAAAATAGTTTAATTTAACACTCTACCTCTGTTTCTGCTGCATGGGTTGCTGTCTCATAGCCATATATTGCATGTCCTCTTGTAGCCTATTAAGGGGAGAATCTGGTTTGACACGAATCCCATAATAATGGTATTTGGAGTTCCCCCTTTATGAAAGAACAAAAATAACATTAATTTTATGCATATGCATCATACTTCACAATTCGCCTTGACTGGAAAACTTTGCATAAAAGTTAGGCTTTACTTTCCTCTTGCCCTAGTATAAAACTGGGTTATACCAGTTTCTGCACATCAGTTCACTTAAACTATATTTTCCAGTGCTTTACAGCTGGACTTCATTTAAATAGAATGAGGAAAGTTAAAAACAAATACATTACTTATGCAGTCATTGTGAATAAAACAATTCCATGCTTGTGAGTGAGTGTTTGTGTATGTTTCACTAGTCAACTTCAGTCCTGATAAGCTGGAGAGGAAGAACAGGATTGGGCTATCTGTGTTCATGTTTATGTGAGTGCTATTGGTGTCTATGTGGGTGCTGATAAAGTCACTGCTCTATGTTAACTTGTTTGGTTAGCTGTGTTAGTGCCATGCATGTGTTTATCTGCATCTTTGGAACACATGTTCAGTCTCACTTTCAGCTGGACCTGCAAATGGGAACAGCAGTAGATGCATTCATTGGTCTGAGATGAAAGATATCTGGGTCTTAAGGGTACACAGACTCTAGCTATAGCAGACCAGGTGTTCCTTGTGTCCTGAAGTCCACTGGATTTTGCAACTCCCTTACCAGTAGGGTTTTAAATAGTTTTTGTTTGCTTGCTTGCGTATAGCATACAAAATTCACATTCACAATTACTATCGATATTTTCATTAATGCAAACCTGGTTCCCAGTCTTCTGGTCCGTAATCCCATGAAGATTGACCGTATGAGTTTTCCAAAAGAGGCAGCATTGACTGGATCTAACTTGTGCTCCTGACAATGACGTAAATAATGGTTGTAAAGGGTACTTCTGGGGAGACTCACTCCTTCTGCAGTTTCGTAGTTGTCTAAAAGCCATTGGAGCTATATCAAATATGAAAGAGTGAACATATGTAAATTCAGTATTACTCTACTAAAAAAAAAATCTTAATTGTACAACACAGATCTCATATTTTTTATACCACTCTTAAGGCCTTTTTAATACAGTGACTTTGTTCTTCAATCAAATATAATCTCTGTAAGTCTCTTTCAGTGCTAGATATGCCATGATGTCTTAGTATATTTTAGAATTACAAGGAAATAGCAAAGCTAATTGCATTTGTGACCACAGATAGCTCCACTTATAAAAATTTTTCAGATTCAGTACCATAACAATAACATTTTATGAAGTTATTTGTGCTTTGGAGACAAATTGTTGGAACTCTAAGGAAGTAAAACAATCCATATAATATATACTGATTGCAGGAAAAAAACTAAAAGGGGTAAGTTAATACATTTTTAATTCTGGAATATTATACTATTTATCTTCACCTGAAATTAAAAAAAAAAAAAGCAAATGAAAAAACAAAACAGTACTTCATTTAATGGAATAGGGTTTATTTTCTTCCAAATACAATGACGAAACTAACAAATATAAGGCAACAAGCAATCTAGATGACATGAAAAATAACCATTGCATCTTTAAAATATTATGGGCCAAATCCCTTTGTGTTTTAGACTGTTTGCATTTGACTTCAAAGAGAAACAGAATTAGGTTATTGGGGGGGTTTAACCGTGTAATTTAATGTAGGATTTTCATGAGCAATTTTGAAGCATGTAGACAGTTTCTAATACCTCATTGTACCTTTGTGTGGAATAATTAGAAATTAAACTTATATTTAAAATGTAGCATTATTCAAGGGCTGGATGTTTCCCCCCCCCCCCCCCCCGATGCCTTTGGGTAAAACTTCCACTGTATTAAGTGCTTCCCCAGGTAAATCAAGGGTCTCTATATAGAGTTACTTTTCACTTTTAACTTTTATATTTTAAAGCCAGGCTGTGTTATTCATAACTTTATTGCGCATTTGTATAACTTATTATTTGCACGTGCTTTTGCAGACAGCGTATTTATCACCAGCAATCCATAAGAACCTGTATATGTTGATTTAATAAACTGCACTGTTTAAGTGGCTAATTGTAACAGATTTCTCATTGAATGCAACCAAATCCTTCAGTGTGTCCATGTTAGTTCATGAACACAATTAGACTGAAGGTGCAGTGAGCTATTAGTGCATCCGGAATAGTGATTGTTCAACATATAGAATGTGATCAGACTGAGAGTGGTAAATTGGGCATCACTCAGAATCTAAGACTAGCCTCACCCAGCCCCTCTAATATCTAAGGACCAGCTGGAATGCAAGGGGGCTTATCTTCTGCCAAATTGACTTGCCTTTTAATGCGACACTTTGTATAGAACAAATAGAAACTAAAATACACACAAACCCCAAGAAAAATTATCACTTAAATGACATTTAACAGTATAGAAAAACAACAGAATAAAATGGAAATATTTTTATAGTGGTCGTAAGTAAATTATAAGGTTTCAGATTTTTTTGGATGCTAACTTTTTACTTATCTTTCACCCCCCTGCCCCCATGGTTTCATATCCCTGGAATTTTCCTTTAATTTCAGCTTGAATAATTCCCAAATCTTGTTTTCTGTTTGATATTCATTTAAGTAGCTGGTGAAGGAAGTTGCTAAGCCACTGGCCATCATGTTTGAAAAATCATGGCAGTCAGGTGACTGGAAAAAGGGCAATATAAGCCCCATTTTCAAGAAGGGGAAAATGGATGACACAGGGAACTACAGACCAATCAGTCTCACCTCTGGGCCTGGCAAAATCTTGGAGCAGATTCTCTTGGAAGGCATGCTAAGGCACATGAAAAACAACAAGGTGTTTGGTGGCAGCCAGCATGGCTTCACTAAGGGGAAATCCTGCCTGACCAATTTGGTAGCCTTCTATGATGCGGCTACGGAACTGATGGATAGGGGTAGAGCGGATGACATTATCTACCTGGACTTGTACAAAAGCGTTCAACACTGTCCCCCATGACATCCTTGACTCTAAACTTGAGAGACATCAATTTGATGGATGGACCACTAGGTGGATAAAGAACTGGCTGGATGGCCGCATACAAAGAGTTGTGATCAATGGCTCAATGTCCAGCTAGAGACCAGTAACAAGTGGTGTCCCTCAGGGATCGGTGTTGGGACCAGTCTTGTTTAACATCTTCGTCGCTGACATGGACAGTGGGATTGAGTGCGCCCTCAGCCAGTTTGCCGATGACACCAAGCCTTGTGGTTCGGCTGATATGCTGGAGGGAAGGAATGCCATCCAGAGGGACCTCGACACACTTGTGAGGTGGGCTGATGGCCAACCTCATGAAGTTTAACCATGCCAAGTGCAATGTCCTACACCTGGGTGGGAGAAAACCCAGGCACAGCTACAGGTTGGGCAGAGAAGAGACTCAGAGCAGACCTGTGGAGAAGGACTTAGGGGTGTTGGTCGATGAGAAAATGAACATGAGCCAGCAGCGTGTGCTTGTGACCCTGAAAGCCCACCGTATCCTGGGCTGTATCAAAAGGAGCATGACCAGCAGGTCAAAGGAGGTGATCCTGTCCCTCTACTCTGCTCCTGTGAGACCTCACCTGGAGTATTGTGTACAGTTCTGGTGTCCTCAACATAAAAAGGACATGGAACTGTTGGAACAAGTCCAGAGGAGGGCCACGAGGATGACTGGGGGCTGGAGCATCTCCCATACAAAGTCAGGCTGAGAAAGTTGGGGCTGTTCATCTGGGAGAAGTGAAGGCTGCATGGAGACCTCATAGCAGCCTTCCAGTATCTGAAGGGCGCTATAGGGATGCTGGGGAGGAACTATTCATTATGGACTGTAGTGATAGGACAAGGGGTAACAAGTTAAACGGGGGAAGTTTAGATTAGATATAATTAGATATAGATATTATATAATTTAGATTAGATATAGTTTTTTACTGTGCGGGTGGTGAGGCACTGGAATGAGTTGCCCAAGGAAGTTGTGAATGCTCCATCCCTGGCAGCGTTCAAGGCCAGGTTGGACAGAGCCTTGGTTGACATGGTTTAGTGCGTGGTATCCCTGCCCATGGCAGGGGGGTTGGAACTAGATGATCTTAAGGTCCTTTCCAACCCTAACCTATGATTCTATTCTAAGTACATTTTACTAATGATTTGTATTTGACATATATTCTTTCAGCCGCAGCTTGGTATTAGCCTCAGGGGGAAAGCAAAACTCAATCTAAGTACAAAAATAAGGATTGTTTTCTAGAATGAAGATATTTAGTAATAAAAACTCAAAGTGATTGAATTGAGGTTACAGACTGAAGATTGCCAATAGCTTAATACCATATAAAAAGGTAAATAATATGCAGACATGATAAAGTTATTGCAAACAGCTTCAAATATATTTTTGTATTTGCAGAAATCTAATTCTAAAATTGGAATGTTCATAGTTTGTTTTCTGTCTTGTTTCTTGCTGGTGCAGTGCTGTGTTTTTTACTTTCATCTGGGAACAGTGCTGATAACACACCAATGTTTTAAGTTGTTGCTAAGTAATGCTTACTCTGATCAAGGATTTATTCAGTCTCATGCTCTGCTAGTGAGGAGGGGCACAGGAAGCCAGGAGGAAGCAGAGACAGGACACCTGACCCAAACTAGCCAAAGGGGTATTCCATACCACAGCATGTCATGCCCAGTATATAAACTGGAGAGAGTTACCTGGAAGGCCCAGATCGCTGCTCAGGTCAGGCTGGGTATTGGTCAGCAGGTGGTGAGCAATTGTATTCTCTCCCTTATTGTTATTTCCTTTATCATTATTATTATTATTGGTGGTAGTAGTAGTAGTTTTGTATTATACCTTAGTTACTGGACTGTTCTTATCTGAACCCATGGGATTTACATTCTTTTGATTCTCCTCCCTATCACTCTGGGAGTGGTGGGGGAATAAGGGGGGAGTGAGCGAGCGGCTGCTTTGTTCTGAGTTACCGTCTGGCCTTAAACCATGACATCCAGTTACTACAGGCCCTGGTAAAAATTCTCTCTCCATCTTTCTTAGTTTAAGTATTGTAGGGCCACAACAAGGTTTCCCTGGAGTCTTCTCTTCTCCAGGCTGAACCACCTCACCTCTCCCAACCTTTCTTCTTTCTAGCCCTCTGATCATTTTTTGTGACCCTCCTCTAACCAACTCTATACCACTATCTTCCCTTGTCCACCAGTGCAGTCCCTCCATCATAGAAGGCCACTAGATTAGTCAGGCATGATTTGCCCTTGCTGAAGCCATGTAGGCTGTCTCTAATCACCTCCCTGTCTCCCTTATTTTTTGACTTAGTTTCCAGGAGGATCTGTTTCATTGTCTTTTAACTAGATTATTACACAGGAAATAGGGGAATACAGTTTTCTGATGCAGAAAATCTTGTCCTTTAATTCTTATTGGTTTCAGCGTGAAGATTTTGGACTTCCTTGTAAGATTCAAGGCAGACATCAATTCTTTGTATATCTAAATTTTAAAACTTTTTTTTGGCATTTTGCAAAACAAAATTATCAACCATTTAATTATTATAATATAAATATTTTATCATATTTCTAGGTTGTTTTAACATCCAAACAATTATTTTAAAAACATCCAGAATTAATTTCTTCATATTTTACAGAATTCATCTAATTTTATCATTTTCTGAGAAAAATAAATTCTCTTCCAAGAAATTGTACTGGTTTCTGCTGTCTTTTTCTACCATGATGATAAACTGAGAAAAATTTTGGCTTTTGCTTCCATATTACCACATTCTTGGAGGGGTGGGAAGTGTGTGTCAACAAATCAAAATATACTTATACATTCATATCACAATCAACATTTACATTTCTGTGGTAAAAGAATACAAGAATCTGAAAAAAGTAAGCTTATGTTGTTTAGTAAGGCTGAGAATCAAAAAGGATGCAATAGGTATAGAAATTTAGCAGCATTAAAAAATGCAAAACTATTAATAGAAACCAAAGAAAAAAAAAGTCGTTTATATAACATTTCAAGAAAGACTAGCACTGCTTAAAAATAAACTGAAGATTAAACTTTGAGCCTTTCTCTTTTACCTAATGTTATATTTAATGGCTTTACATTAAAATCTGCAGAGCAGGCACATACGTTAAGCTGTGTTAACACACTACAGAACCTGGAAATGTACTCTACAATATTTCATGACAACATGACAAAATATAGTGACAGAAGATGTAGATTGCAAGCAACTAAAATGGAAAGATTAAAAGCAAAAAGTAGCACTAAATTAAAAGAAACATTTACAGGCAGGCTAAGTATGCAGAACAAGCTTTCATGAAAGTGACAACTTACATGACTGTTGAGAAGAGAGCTCCTGTGAGTGGAAAGACCATCAGACTTTTGTAGTGTCTCAATCGCCATTTCAATCTGATAATAGACGTCATTAAAAATGACTTAAGACAGTAAAAAAGGATGATCAGAAAAATTATAGATTGACTTAAAATCTACAGAAATATCTAGTTCAGTCATGGCTAAAGTATATTTTCTGCTTAAAGGCCTCATCCTGAAGTCTCCATAAGGGCAAACCTCACCAGTGAAGTCAGGGAGGCATTTTGATTGCATATATACTACACGATCCCACTTCCAAAGTCCAATTTAACTTCCTCCCTACTCATGAAATAAGAGAAGTGGATTTACCAGTAAGCTACATCGTAAACAGCAGCAATTACTGAATAATCATTCTTAATAGAAGAAAAAAATAAGTCAGAATAATATCCTAAAAAAGGTCTCAATGTTTCTTCCTCCAAGTATTTGAGAAAAACCTGTGCACACTCTTCAGAGAATGTGAATTAGAATAAAAATTTCTGGTCCCTGTAACCAGGGAGTAAAATCTCAATCATTCAGTAGTTTTCATTGGACAGGATATCACCCCTAAAGCCTGTCAGAGCATTCCTTGAATACCCAGAGCTCTCAAAGCAAATGAAAATTGAAGGTTTACACAGACAGCAAGATCCATCTGTAAAAAAAACCAACCCAACAAAATAAAACACACAACCAAAAAAAACACACAGATGGGTTTAGAATAATACTTTTAAAAGGAAAAGTATTATATACCACTAATATACAGCAGTAGTACTCCTATTACAAATGTGTAGAGACAACCATACCCATTCCCATTGTTTCCCTCCATATTAATGCATCTTTTGATTAATCCAATGACAGCATTAAAAATAAAATTGCAGTCTAACTGTAGTTTAGCTGCAGAGCTAGAATAGCAAAAAAATTGAAAGTGATAGAGACAATAGGATGTGCAGTAAAAGAAGGCACATTAAATGGAATAAAAAACCCAAACAAAACAAACCACAAAAGCAATGGAAAAACATCTGTACATTTTAAACCACATATTCCCACTGTAGACAGTTTTAAAATAAGTCTTCCATATCCTTCTTTAATTATTACAGTATTATCCAAAGTTTATGCTGGTAAATTACACTACTAAAATGAGTTCACTCAATATACAGCACAAAACTAGAAAATAATCCAGACTATATTTCAATTAGTCCAGAAACACAATTTGTTTTCCCTTTTTTATAAGCTAATAAAATAGTGCTTTACTCAGTAGTTCTCAATGAAAAAGGAAGTCTTTCTTACAACTGTCTAATGTTAGAAATATAAGCATTTTTTTTTAAAAGCATACAAGTATCTGATTGGTTTGTAAAAAAATATACTTCGATATTACAAAAATAATGTTTACATCCAGATTTGGATTAAATCCAAATGTCAGCCAGTCTTCAAAAAGGACAAGGAGGAGGACCCTGGGAACTACAGGTCAGTCAGCCTTACTGTAATGTCTTATCCTGGAGGCCATCTTTAAGCATGTGGAAGATGAGAAGGTGATCAGGAGTAGTCAGCATGGATTCACCAAAGGGAAATCATACTTAACCAACCTGATTGCCTTCTATGATGGGATAACTGGCTGGATAGATGAAGGAAGATCAGTTGATGTTATCTACCTGGACTTAACCAAGGCTTTCAATGCTGCCTCTATGACATTATCATAGGCAAGCTCAGGAAATGCAGGCTGAATGAGTGGATGGTGAGATGGATTAAGAACTGGCTGAATTGCAAGTCTCAGAGGGTCGCGATCAGTGGTACAGAGTCTAGTTGGAGACTGGTAACTAGCAGTGTCCTCCAAGGGTCAATACTGAGTCCAGTATTGCTTAATTTGTTCATCAGCAACTTGGATGAAGGGCTAAAGTGCCTCCTCAGCAAGTTTGCTGAAGATATAAAACTGGGAGGAGTGGCTGATACCCCAGAGTGCTGTGCTGTCAGTCAGAAGGATATAGACAGGATGAAGAGATGGGTAGAGACAAACCTTTTGAAATTCAGCAAAGTGCAGGATCCTGCCGCTGTGGAGGAATAACACGATGCACCAGTACAGGCTGGGGGCTCACCTGCTGGACAGTAGCTCTATGGAGAAGGACCTGGGGGCCCTTTGGAGAATCAATGTCTCGCTATGAGCTTTTATATGCTTTTTGCTACAGAAATATGTCAGCACACAGGAACATCACAGTGACTAAGAAACTATCTCCAAAAAAATTAACATAGTTCTGAAGTACTTACTGTAGCTGGGGAGGCCCGCGTTGTATGAGTCAATGAATGACCAGAATTTTCCATTGAATTGCCAATAAGATAGGTCCCTCCTGAGCTGCTAATGAACTGTCCTCCTGCAACACCCATCTGAATCCCTCCGGTGCCCACCATACTATGAGAGGAGACCACTGTAGTTGCCTGTGCAGAGCTTCCTTGAGTATCGAAGTAATTTCCCCCAGTGTTTTGGCTATACATCTGGGTTTCCGTGTAAGGGTAAGTTGTTCGACTTCAGGAAGAGAAAACAAAAGAAGTAGTAATTACTTATATGGATTGTTTAAGTGAGGGAAACATCACTGTAGAAAAAAGCATATGGTTGCAGTAACCAAACTTAATAGGATTGGCAAATAAACCCTGCCTCCACACAAAATAACTTTTCATATGTTAAAGTACTGAGTAATTAACTTGGACTGACTGTTAAAATAAATATTCATTAAAAGTCACAGAAAGTGTTTTGATTCCCATCTGAAGAGGGGTAGAGAAAAGTATGACAAGAACTGAAGACATGAGAGGAAGATGACATTCATGTATTAATAAAGGAATTATACAGGAATTTCTAAAACAGTTGTAACTTTTAAAATCCTATGGTCAAAGCTGTATCTTTATTTAGATGCCATTTATTTTGCATACTGAGGTCCCAGTTTCAGTTGGGAGAGTTAATTTTCTTCCCAATAGCTGGTGCAGTGCTGTGTTTTATTTTTACGCTGAGAATAATGTTGATAACACACTGATGTTTTAGTTGTTGCTCAGTGTCACTTACCCTAATCAAGGACTTTTCAGTTTCTCATGCGCTGCCAGCAAGAAGGGTGGAGGGAAACAAGAAGCTGGGAGGGGGCACAGCCAGGACAGCTGACCTAAACTGGCCAAAACCATATTCCATACCACAAAGTTTCATGATCAATATATAAACTGAATTAGCCCAAAGGGATCAATTGCTGCTCGGAACAGGCTGGGTATCGGTCAGAGGGTGGTGAGCAGTTATATTGTGCATAACTTGTGCTTGTTTTCTGAATTCTCATTTCTCTCTTTTTTGTTGTTGTTCCCTATTACTATTACCACTATTTTTATTGTTGGTTTTTTTCTATTGTCATATTTTACTTGATTTCAATTATTAAAATTTTAATCTCAACTGGTGGGTTTTACATTCTTCCAATTCTCTTCCTCATCCCACCTGTGGAGTGTGGGAGGGTGTGGGGAATTGAGCAAGCAGCTGTGTGGTACTTAGTTGTTAGCTGGGTTTAAATCATGACAGCATGTTAAAACAAATTTCTTATAAGCATTAACTGTATTGATTTAATAGTTGCTGGTCACAATGTTATTTTACTGGTTCTCAGAATTGTGTTATGTAACACATTGCTGTATATACTCCCTGTGGTGCTGTTTATTACCTCTGTGAGTTGAATTAATATTATTGCTTTAGCATATTGCGTAGCACTGGCTTGTAGTATGATAAAATTATTGGTTGTGAGACCAGTCTGGGATTTGTACTCAGCATTGCCATCATCTCTATTCTTCAGGAGCCATCAAAAGGACTGGGAAGCCTGCAGCATGAGGAAAGGCTGAGAGAACAGTGTGTGTTCAGCCTGGAGAAAAGAAGGCCGAGGGGAGACGTTATCACTAGTATTTAAAGGGGGGATAAACAGAAGACAGAGATTCCCTTTTTACAGGGTATCACGTGGAAAAGACAAGAGGTAATAGGTACAAGTTACTCCTGTGGGTCTGAGGCCTGCCCTACTCCGGTTAATCTAGAGGGACTGCAGTGCAGTCTAATGAAAGCATTTTTTTTAAAAAGGGGTGGGTGGGGGAGAGGAGAATGTGTCCAGAACCAGTATGGTCATCTAGTAGCACTTTGTTTTCAGAGCTAGAATCAATCCATCTTCTACATTGCAATGTATACAGGCAAGATGGTTTGGAGAAATCTCCTTAGGTGTACCTGATGGATTTTATTAAACTGAGACAACAGTGAATGCCTCCAATGGATGCACAGTCAAGCATCTGCTACCAGACCAGATGTTATATCTTTCTTAGAATCAGGAAATTTAATAAACAGTCCTATTTAATAGAGTGTACTTAAGGAGAGCCTGATGATGGAAACTGAGGGGAAATAGTTCAACAAGTGTCTACCAGGGGGGTGGAACATGGGAATTTCCCCCAAAAGGGGAAAGACAAAAATAGATATTAGTAAGATGAGGAAAAGAAGAAAGGCATGAGATCACTGTTGACAGTAAAAATATCCCTGGCCAGAGGAAATGGTACAAATTATGTCTGCAAGACAAATCTCACTTGAAGAGGTGGAGTCCAAAAGTTAGGCCTTAGAAGCCCAAAGGATTGATGAAAATCCTAGAGAATGCCCTCATTTCTTCAGTTCATTTCTCCCTCTCTTCAGTAGGCTACAACTAACAATACTGAAAAGATTATTACTCTGTCCACCTCACCGGGAGTGCAGACTCCACTTAGATTCCTAACTTTTCCAAAAAGTTTCAAGTTTTAGTCATGTTTCCAAATATCATGATTTTTTCTTCAAAACACATTTTAATTTCATAAAATAGATTAGATGCTAAATTATCTTTTGTCTGATGATGATATGCAGGAAAGATGAAATCTTAGAACTTAATAACGTTTTTAAAAAAAATTCTCTACACATAAAAACTGACCTTGGTTTTTGTACTTGACCCAGGGGTCAGTACTGGGTTCAGTCATGATCAAGATCTTTATTAATGATCTGGATGATGGGGTAGAGTGTACCCTCAGCAACTTTGCAGACAGCACCAAAACTGGGAAGAGTGGCTGATAATCCAGAGGGTTGTGAACTGGGGGTCCTCACGGACAGCAAGTCGAACATGAACCAACAGTGTGCCCTTGCTGCAAAGAAGACCAATGGTATCCTTAGTTGCATTAGGCAAAGCATTGACAACAGGAGGAAAGACATGATCCTTCTGCTTCACTCAACACCAGTGAGGCTACACTTGGTGTACTGTGTCTAGTTCTGGGTCTGGGGTCCCCAGTATAAGAGAAACATGGACATAGAGGAGAGAGTCCAGCAGAGGGCCATGATGATGATTAAGGGATTGGAGCATCTCTCCTATAAAGACAGCCTGAGAGAGCTGGGACTGTTTAGCCTAGAGAAGAGAAAGCTCAGGGGGATTGCGTGATCTCACCATTCTGTGATTTTGTGATTCTGTCAATTCGATTATTTAAACATCCTGGAATTCCCTTCCCGTAAACTATTTAGCAGCAGTATGTCAAAGGCAAACCAGCCTTCCATTTGGAAGTCTGAGACATACAGCAGCTCCAGTTGAAAGGCAGGGCTATTACCTATGGTGGTGGGGTTGCACTGTATGTTAGGGAGCACATCGACTGCCTGGAACTCAGTGTTGTGAGTGAGAAGGTTGAATGTTTGTGGGTGAAGATCAGGGGGAAGGCAAACCAAGCAGATATCCTGGTTGGAGTCCATTATAGACCAAACAACCAGGATGAAGCTATGGATGAATCATTCTTCAAGCAACTGGAAGAAGTTTCATGATTGCTAGCCTTTGTTCTCATGGGGGACTTCAACCTATCAGATGTCTGCTGGAAGTACAATACATCAGAGAGGAAAGAGTCCAGGAGGTTCTTAGAGGGTGTGGAAGATAATTTCCTGACACAGCTGGTGAGTGAACCAACTAGGGGAGATGCCTGGCTAGATTTGCTGCTTGCAAACAGAAGAGGACTGGTGGCTGTCTTGGGCAAAGTGATCATGAAATGACAGAGGTCAGCAAAACCTCCACTTTAGACTTCCGGAGTGCTGACTTTGGCCTGTTTAGGACGCTGGCTGAGAGAATCCCTTGAGAAACAGTACTGAAGGGCAAAGGGGTCCAGAAAGGCTGGACACTCTTCAAGAATGAAATCCTCAAGGCGCAGGAGCAGGTAGTCCCTATGTGCTGAAAATTGAACCAGTTGGGAAGAAGACCACCGTGGCTGAACAGGGAGATATTGCTTGAACTCGGGATAAAAAAGAGAATCTATCACCTGTGGAAGAAGGGACTGTCACCCCATGAGGAATACAAGGATGTTGTTAGGTTATGCAGGGAGAAAATTAGAAACGTGAAGGCGCAGCTGGAACTAATTCTCATCACTACCATAAAAGATAATAAAAAATGTTTTTACAGATATATTAACAATAAAAGGAGGGTCAAGGAGAACCTCCATTCTTTACTGGGTACTGGGTGAAACCTAGTGATCAAGGATGAGGAAAAGGGTGAGGTACTTAATGCAGCCTTTGCCTCACTCTTTAATAGTCACTCCAGCCATCCTCAGGGTATTCAGTCTCCTGAGCTGGATGACATAGATGGGGAGCTGATTGAAATATACTCCAGGAGGAAATGGTTAGTGACCTTCTGCTCCACTTGGACATATACAAGTCTATGGGGCTAGATGGGTTCCACCCAAGAGTGCTGAAGGAGCTGGCAGAGGAGATTGCCAAGCCATTCTCCATCATTTATCAGCAGTCCTGGTCTAGTGGGCAGGTCCCAGAGGATTGGAGGTTGGCCAACATGACACCTCTCTACAAAAAGGACAGGAAGGAGGACCCTGGAAATTACAGGCCTGTCAGCCTGACCTCAGTGCTGGGGAAGGTCATAGAGCAGATCATCCTGAGTGCTCTCACACAGCACATGTGGGTTCATGAAGGGCCCGTCCTGCTTGACCAACATGACCTACGACAAGGTGAGCTGCTTAGTGGATGAGGGAAAGGCTGTGAATGTTGTCTACCTGGACTTCAGTAAAGCATTTGACACTGTCTCCCACAGCATTCTACAGGAGAAACTGGCTTCTCATGGCCATTGTTGTATTCTTCGCTGGGTTAAAAACTGGCTGGATGGCAGAGCCCAGAGTGGTGGTAAATGGTGTCACACCTAGTTGGCGACTGGTCACTAGTAGTGTCCCTCAGGGCTCGGTGTTAGGGCCAGTGTTGTTTAATATCTTTATTGATGATCTGGATGAGGGGATTGAGTGCAGCCTCAGTAAATTTCCAGATGACACCAAGTTAGGTTTGAGTGTTGATCTGTTGGAGGATAGGAAGGCTCTGCAGAGGTATCTGAACAGGCTGGATCGATGGGCTGTGGCCAATGTTATTAGGTTCAACAAGTCCAAGTGCCAGGTCCTGTACTTGGGCCACAACAACCCCATGCAATGCTACAGGCTTAGGGGAAAGCGGCTGGAAAGCTGCTCAGCAGAAAAGGACCTGGGGTT